AAGAGAGAGAGAGAGAATCTAATGGCGTTAGCGAATAACTTAACGGCGATACTGAACTTACTAGCGTTACTCTGTTCGATACCAATAACGGCGTCAGGGATATGGCTTGCTTCAAAACCAGACAACGAGTGTGTTAATCTCCTCCGTTGGCCCGTCGTTGTCCTCGGCGTTCTCATCCTCGTTGTCTCCGCCTGCGGTTTCATCGGCGCTTACCAGTAAGTATCTCTCTTTATACACAAAAACAGAGACTTTTAAACCCAATTCTCAGTTTCTTCGAAATTTAAAGACTTTATTTTCTTTTTGCACCTTTTTTTATCTCTAAATTTTGATAAAATACCCAAAAAAACAGAGAGAATTTCAAAACCCAGTTTCCGAATTACGAATTTATTCAAACCCAGAATGATTTCAAGCACAAAGATCTCAACTTTGTTTGAATCAAAGAAAAAGCCCTAATTTTTGTTTGTTGGTTGCACATACTCTGTTTGAATCAAAGAACAATATTGTGAAAAATTAAAACTTTGAAAAAAAAAAAACAGAGAGAATCTCAAAACCCAATTTTCCAATTACAAATTAATTCAAACTTAAGAAAGATTTTGTCATCACAAAGATCTCAATTTTGGGTTCAAATGATCAATTCTCAGGTACAAGGAGACATTACTGGCTGTATATTTATGTTGTATGGCGATACTGATCGGACTTTTACTGGTGGTTCTGATATTTGCTTTCGTCGTAACTCGACCGGACGGATCGTATCCGATACCGGGTCGAGGTTACAAAGAGTATAGACTCGAAGGTTTCTCGAGTTGGTTAAGAGAAAACGTTGTTGATTCGAAGAATTGGGGGAAGATAAGAGCTTGTTTAGCTGATACAAACGTTTGTCCTAAACTCACTCAACAATTCATCACTGCTGATCAGTTCTTCTCTTCTTCTTCCATCACTCCTCTCCAGGCATGTTCTTCTCTCCTTTTTTTTTTTTTACCCCAAACTTCTGGTTTGTTACATTTGACCCCAACATTTTTCATTTTCATAAACTTTCTAATTTATAAATTAATCAGGTGGGCATTTGCACATACTCTCCACAAAGTAACAAATATTATTTGATGTAAATTTAAAATTTTGAACAATTAGACAAAATTTTTCAATCCCTGTGTCAAAAATCCACATCCTAAGTTTGGTGACATTTGTTAGTTGATTTTACTTAATGTCAGAATAGCCAGTAACTTGGATACCGACTTTGTAAGTTAAATTTCGACTGTGTTGCAAGATGCTCACGAATCATTTTGTTAATTAAATATTTATATCCTTACAACACCTTATTAATTAAAGATTAGATGAAGATAAGATATTAAGATGCGATGTTAAAGAGGATGTTTTTTTTTTAACATCTAGATTATGTGAGACCTACGGTTTTTTGTTATTACTTCTTACAAATGAAAAAAGAAAGTAAGAAAGGTCCATAATTCAAAAAGTAGTACATGGGGCTTAAATCATAAAGTTATAAAAATTCACTTTAGCTTTTGTGAAGTCCAAAAAGAGCACTGTTCTTATACTCTATATTCCTTTTACTATTTTATCGTAGTTTTTTTCGGATTTTCCTTATCGTACAGAAAAAAAACTAAAAACTGAACAAATGACTCCTAAGTAAAATGGTTTCTGAACAATTCAAACCTGTATTTTCTTAACTTAGTGCAATTAGTGTCATTTGTGTGGTAATCACGTTTATTGAAAACCAATTTCGAAACTCTATATTAGAATTATATACTCCCTCTGTTTCATAATATAGGATGTTTTGCCAAAAACACAAACATTAAAAAAAAAACATTTTCTTTCTAAAAGTAGAATTTAATATATTAATTAAAACAATTCAACCAAGTATAAAAAGACTGCAGAAGATTATTGGTCATACAGTTTTCAATAAAGCTAAAAAAGTACATCAAAGTATCAAAACATTGTGAAATAAAAAAAAAACTTCAAAACATCCTATATTATAAAACGAAAGGATTATTTCTTAAATTTACAAAGCATATGTATTCCTAGTAGAAGTTGCTAGTCCAAATAATTATTAGGGATTCAAAATAATACACTATCATAAGGACCCTACACTCATGCACCCACAATATGGTACATGATAAAATATGTTTTAACTATTTATTTGGATCTGATTGGTGGCTTCGTTTCAAACGAACAATTGAAAGTTTTCGAGCGGTTGAATAGTAGGTCGTTTAAAACAAGGCAGTTAGAATCAACAGTTAGAGAAGGCGGTTGGATAATAGAGAATAATTCAAATATAAGGTTGATTGGTAGCATTGTAGCGGTTGAATAGTATAATTATATAAAATTATGTATTAAGTTTTTTTAAATGATTTTAAAATATAATGCATTGAAAAATAATTAAAAATTAATAATATAAATTATTAGTAAACATATATTAAAATTATTGACTTTAAAAACATTAAGGAACTAGCATATACGAATGAGTTCTAAACTTCTAAAAACGAAAACTAACCTACAATCTGGTATATTCATATAGTTTAGCCATTTTTTTATTTTTTTGGTTAATTTGGGTACTGTAGATATATTGGATAAAAATAACCAATTTAAATAGCTCTACCCTTTTTTAATATTTTTTTGGATAATTTGAATTCAAAATAATTAAATCGATCCAAATGCAAAAACAACGGTAATTATGAATA